GCTTGACCAAATGCTTGACCCGATCATTCCTGTATGGAGAGGCTGAGAGGAACTGCTTCCCCTCACAGGCGTAGACCCCAGTTTAAGACTCAACTAGTGACTCTTCAGGAAATTACTCAAAGAAATTTGTACCAGTTTGGGCGGCTGAACTCATCGGTAACTCGTTGTTACAAGACTTTAGGGGCGTTCTGCTGCTACTGCCTGTACTAGGATATGCTACGGAAGACGCTGCCCTGGATACACCTTGTTGTTCTTGCACCTTCGATAGTGCTGAGCCGCATGAGTCGTCAGTACTCGCCTTCAGTGATCAATTCCAAGCCCATCTGTACGTGCGATTCCTCCGCGAGTTGAGCTAATCCATCATGCACACAGAAAGCTTATATCACTGGATAGTCAACACACGGTGAATTGAAGAAAAGACGTTGCAGAGGAAAGAAGTACAGTTTGTCTACGCCTTATTGTGCCTGCAGAAAATTCAGCAGAAGACATCCAATGGTGCCATTCCGAAAACCAGCACTATGCTGTTTCTTTCGAATTTCCATGCGTATGGGTGTCCCTACTAGAGCTTAGATTGCGGAATACACGCGTCAAACTCATGGGCTTCACATTTGTTGGTGGTTGGGGGACTTCCAACGCAAGCCGAATGCCTTTCCGTTGATTCGCTGTGGCAACTAAAGCATCGGGAGAAAATGCTTTCACCAAGTAACACCTCCAGATACTTCAGCTTGATCTGTATAGTTTTTGTCGAAGTCAATCGATAAAATGGCACAAGGCTTCAAAGCCATCAGTATCAGAAGTCAGTAGCAAATGCTAAGCTTATGACGCATGAGGCAAGCTAAGCTCCGATGGTGGTTCCAAAGTGGTGGGAAAAATCCAACAAACAGTGTATTCCGTTTCTGCCGCGGGGCACTAGCGACTGAAAGCTCCTCATTATGACTTGAAAAAGCGCCTTCTAATATCTTCAGCCTACAATGTATTCGGTTTCTGCCGCGGAGCACTAGCGACTAGAAGCCCTTCATTATGACTTGAAAAAATGCCTTGTTATGTTTTCAACCTACAAAATGAAGAGAAACTGTTTCAAAACCCTCCGGGACTCAAAAAGAAACGCTGCAATGCACGTTGCAAGTTCTTAACAATTCGCGGCCGTCGTTATCGTCTTGGCAGGAGCAAGAGACGCCGTCAATGTGGTCCATATATAACTATACAGGAAGGCGAGCTCAGTCGGTAGTTACTGCTTCGACAAATGTAAATTCGCGCATCTCAATTGCAGTGTGGATGAACGCGCAGCAAGGCGGCCAGCGTCACTTCTTCGCAGGCTTCGTGAATTCACTCATCACCACTTCCGCCTTTCCGTCTCGTTCTTCGTATATGTACAGCACCACAGAGGCCCCCTGCAGCGCCATGAGCATGAAGCTCGGGGTTGGCGAGGGGGCCCACGGCTGGTAAGCGCCAGTGGCAGAGCCCGGGTTAATGAAGAAACACCCCTCGACTTCCCGCACAGAGTTGCTGTGCGTGTGCCCTGAAACAACTATATCGCAGTCCAGCCGCCGCTGCCACTGCAGCAGCGCATCTGCATCGCCCCAGGGCACGACTTGGTGGCCGTGCAGCAGCGCCACTTTGAATTCCCCTGAAACACTCCAGCCATTTCAAAAGATGAAAAACACCTTAACATGCAGCATTAGACAGAAAACCAGGGCCCGTTCTGCTTATCAAAGCCTGTGTTTCTTCCAACAGCGAAAGATGAATCAAAGTGGTGGCTGAAATGCGGGAAATTAGGAGCAACGGCAAGATGGTTAGCCACCCACCAAACTGCAGTATTTTGTACTCCGGGAAGTCAAGGCCTTCGTCCATATCGCCCTTCACTATGTGGACAGATCCGGCAATGCCCCTCAGGAAATCGAGAATAAGACCATTTCCGACGTTTCCAGTGCACAAGACGTGGCGGATCTTGTCAGTGTGCAGCAGCTCCCGGAAGCAGGGGGGAAGATCCACTGCCCTCTGCGGAACGTGAAAGTCCCCTATAATCAACACCAAGTCACCGAAATCGGTGAAGTTCCCAGCCATCCTCGTACTGAACTGCTGGGCGGTTCCTGTTGCTGCCCTGTAGTCTTTAGTTTGTAGAGTTCGAACCTGGCCCTGTTCTCCGGGCTGTTGAGACGTCCCTCTTCAAAGGCCCCTGTCAGTTGTTTACAGGCCCGTTTGCATTCGCAAGCTCAATAGCATTTACTCGACTCAAGCGAAAGGAATGCCTATCTAAACTGTGTTCTTTCAATTCCCCGTGTTCAGCCTCGAAGACAAAGTCCGGCTTGACGTACAGGAGTCAACTTCTGGCCCTGGGGAGGCGGAAAATTAATCTCGCGCTCAATGCGATGCAACTTTTCAAAAAGGATTTCGGGTGCAGCGGACGCGGTTTCCCCTGTTTGCAAGTTCTGTGAGGCGACAAGTTCTCGGAGTCTCACGGGGCAACACAAACAGAAAAAGCGCCTTGGAATGCATTCACACACAGGATCCCCAGCATACAATCCCAATAAGAAGCAGGCATGAGGCAAGCTTCTCTTGTTTTGCGTGTTCAACTCTCTGCAAGGAAGCTTCGTTGGGAGACATGCGCTGCGCTAGTTTAGACACAGGCGCGCCGACTTCTAGCGGCAAACCAGGGGAAAGCACAACTCTGGAAGGCCAACCTTTGTCGAAAACTCAAAGGTCCTTTCCTCAGGAACGCTGCAGGTTCTGTCGGAGTAATCTGGCCGGCTGCCAAGCTGTGTCAGTTGTAACTAACGGCCACCTGCCCCCGCGGCCCCTTTCTGCTGCTGCTGGATTCAATTTGACCAGAGAAAGCCATATATGTATCAAATCAACAAAACATTGAGGAACAAGAAGTGGAAAATGCAGTCGCGACTGCGCAGCAGCCCTGTTGGCCAGAGTTGCTCTTGGGACAGCTGCGAAGGAGTACCTAACCCCACTCTAGAGCGCTCAGTTTGAAAGGACCATTGCTTCAAGTGTTTATATTCAGTGGTTTTATTTTAACTAGCAAAAAGACGCAACAATTCCCTAATTTCTGCACTATCAAGCTGCAGCAGCCTGCCTCCCCTCTGCTGTCCGCGCGGCTGCAGCTCCCCCGCGCCTCTCCTGGCCGCGCCACTGCAGCCGTGATCAACCATTCGTAGCATCACCATAAATAGCCGCGTCCTTGAAATAAATTCTTTAGTACTTTATTATTCGCTTTCGTGTAGTCTTGAAGATGCCCAGACAACGCAGCAGTTCCGGCGCACGCCGATCTTCTTCCGGTGGAGGCTTCTGTGCGTTCACAGCGTTTTCCCTTTTCCTTTGAGGGCCGGGAGGGCCTTGCAAGGCTCTTTTGCACTTTTTGTTGCATTTAAATAGTTCTTTATTGCATCTGGCACTTTTGGGGCTCTCAGTTTGGCCACTTGCGCCTTCGACGGCGTTCCCTGCTTTCTGTCGCTGCATGCGCTGCCTCATCTTTCATTTTCCTTCCCCAATTGCGTGCCTTTATTGACAAACTTAGAATTCATGTTTATATTTTCTAATGCTGCTTGTAGCTGGGGCGCAAGCGAGTTTCTGGCGACGGCGCTGCAGTGCCACTGAGTGACCGCGCCTGCGTCGATGTAGTTGGACTCTGGCGATTTCGGCCTTTTCGCGTGGAAAGCTTGTTGCTGCATGTCGTTGCGACGCCGTGTTCTCGCGCGGCAGAGCCTGCATGCATTCAGTGGTGCAATTATCGTTCAATAAGGCTCTTTTGGGTTCTTTTGCATGTCTTTTTGCTGCAGTTGGGTCTCGTTCTGCGCGCCCGGCGGCGCCCGCGCCCGTGGCCGCGCCCCCGAGCCCCCCACCCGTGGCCGGAAGCAGCAGCGGCGGCGGAGGCTTCATGGCCAACATGGTGGGAAATGTGGCGAGTGGAATGGCCTCGGGAGTTGGCTTTGGCGTGGCCCAGAGAGCCGTGGACGCTGTCATGGGCCCCCGCTCAATGGAAGTTGTGCACACGAACACTGCGCCTGCGGCCCCCGCGCCGCAGCAGCCCATGCAGCTCGGGATGCAGCAGCAGAACCCCTGTGCAGCTTACCAGGAAGAACTTAACCAGGTATTTTCCCTTTTTGTTTCTTTTCAACAGAAGTTCGTTGCAGCCAACGCGTAGGATGCGGAACGGCGATAGGCGGTGGTGTGGCATTTGCTTGTCAGCTGCATGTACACCCAAGGTTTTTCTCCTTACAGGATGCACTGCAGGCACATGAAGTGGTTTTTTTTTTACGGTGCTTCTAGAATACACTTAATATATATAATAATAAATTAAATGAAATTGTAACCTTCAAAGAAGAAGCAGTTTTGGTGGTTCTGTTTATTGTTTTTGGCGCAGTGCATGACCCGCCACACGGACATCACTCTTTGCCAGAACTACCTGGACAACCTGAAGGCGTGTCAGACGACTATGAACAGGACCTAAACTGTCCACTTCACTTAAATGTAGCTGTTTACCAGCGCTGTTGTGCATATCAATGAGCGCAGCAGCCTCGAGTTCGCCTACAGGGGCCACACTGAATCTAGTGGTGTGCAGTAATCACAGAAATCCGTGACAGCCATTTGGTCCTTGTTCTGACTGGCAGACAACATCAATTGCGTGCGCTTCTCGAGCACAGCTACAGTTCATGAATGCAAAACTGCGTGTTGCTGAGCGCAGCCCTTTGCTGCTCGAAACAACCGGGTGTACATGCAGCTCGCATGCAGCTCGGACTAGCTTTGCCATAGGTGCTCAGTTAGGGGCGAACAGCTCTTAGCGTAGCCACAGGCAGAAGAAAGCTGAATGAAAAAAGGGCATTGGGTCTAAAGTGGATCGAAACGAAAGGAATCTGGTAGTCACGCGCTAGCTAGCAGGCTCTGAGTCCAGCAGTTGCAAATGCAGGGTAACTGAGCCGCCCGCAGAGCCCCCGAGCTCGCAGCGGGGTGTCCGTACGAAGGCCCAATGGCTGTTCTAGTCTGCAAGTGGCTGTTCAACTTTGCATGTACTCCGCAATTGAAGTGCAGAAGAAACGGCGGACCCTCTCGAGCACTCCGAGGCGGGCGTTGGCTCGCGAAGAAGACGGGACAGTTTCCCGCACCACCACCGCGTCTTGTGCAACTTTGTAAGTTATGGGCAGCGGGTAAGTGGCGGTGGAGGGGTCCCAGGGGTTCATGGTGGCTCCGATGTAGGAGCTGGTCCCGGCGGAGGTGACCACGCGCCACTGCAGCAGGAAAGCGCGCTGGTTGCGGGGAAATGGGGTTTCTGGGGGGCGAAAACGTTGAATTAGTTTCGAAAATGCAAAATAAATTCAAGTTTTTCGCCAAGTTGCATGCAGTTTCAACGTGTTCGCTCAGTTCCCAGCTGCTGCCACTGACCTGGCCTTGAAACGCCACAAAGGTTTCAGTTGAAGGCACTGTTTCGTGCGCGGGCAGGTTCTCGTCGTTGGCCCGGAGCAGTCCTGGAAAGCAGAAGTTGAATGTGGAAAGCTGCTGCATGTTGGCTGAAATATTCTGATTTTTGAACTATTTTTATGTTTTATAAAGAGATTCAGACGCTATTTTAGCTGTTCTGCATGCTCACCGTGAAATATCTCGGGGCCGTCGATCTTGATGCGCGGCTTCAGCCACGAAGTCGGCGGCTGCTCCACGGTCACATCCTGCAGGCTACTTATGGTGTAAGCGTACGGAGCAGTTTGTATTGGTGGGACTTCTGAGGGGGGTCTGGGGAGCTGCTGCTGAGGGAGTGTGAGCTGCGGCACGGGCGGCGGGCTGTGCTGCTTCACACTTGGCTGCTGCTGCTGCTGCTGCGGCTGCGGCTGCGGCTGAGCATCACTGTCTTGGCGTTCGTCATCGCTCGGGTACGCGCCAGAGCTGGGATATTCGTCTTCACTGCTGCAGCAAACGGTGGACTGGCCAGCCTCTTCGACGGCTGCAGTCGAGTCGCCAGCAACTGGCTTCTTCGCTACAGGCGCCACTGGTGAAGCTTCCCGCAGAGCATCAGCAACGCTGCAAGGGGACACAGCTTCCATTTTCAATTAGTTTGCAAGTTGCAAACTAGAAATGCTTCTTGGAATTGACAGATGGGTGTCGGCTGCGCGCTTTCTCTTGGGCTGCAGCAGGTGGGTTCTGGTGTTGGGTTTGATCTGACGCTGCGGGCAGCGCTGCAGATACAGGATTTGTCTACCGCACCGCCAATAAGGCTTTCACTCAAAAGATAATGAATAGTAATAAGGAAGGGTGTAAGACGATCGTGGTGCTCCCGTCGTAAGTGCAGGAAAGAATCGACCAGCAGTGCCTTCTTTTCGGCTGCAGCAGGCTAGCTAATGCGCATGTGGTCTGCCGCCTGACTTCCTCACGAGCTCTTCCCCATTTCGTAATAAAACGACCAAATTAAAGCATAATTTTTGCAGAAGAAAGCCCTTTTCTTTCTACGGTGGATCAGTGAGCCGCTTCCGAGTGCTCACAGCGAGCCACTGGCGACCACTGGCCCGCAGCCGCACTGTTCCTCCTTCGGGTGTAGCCCACGGATGAACTATCTTTAGTCCTCAAAGAAGTCAACGCTTTCAGAAAATACTAAGCTTTTGATACAGTTTGAAATTATCCGGCGTTTCTGCTTTCCAATTGCTGGCCACCGTCAGTTCTTCAATGGGAGTGAAGTGCAGCCGAAGACCAATGTTTAGCGCACGGCATTTTTGCACTGGCGGAGTGGGATTTGGGAACTGTGAGGGGAAAGAGGCTTACAAATTTAAATGTTAACACTTATTTTCCCTTCAAGAATTCACTGGACAGTCACAACACTCAACTCCACCAGCTGTCCAGATTGCTCGCTGTAGGCAGCACCGTTGTGCACGAGTTATCTTCGAGAGTTATAAAATATGCGCGCGTTCAATGTATGGATGTTGTCGCTCTTCTCTAGAGAATAATGTGTTACTAGGCGCTGGGATCTCTGAATTTAAGTACTGCCTTAATCAAACACTGCATCTATTGACATTCCCCTGTTCAAACTCTATAGAATGCCAGCTGTTTCCTCGGTTGGTTAGCGTAGTTACTTCCTTTCCACACTCTCTTCGCACTTGCTGAAACGCCCACATTTGCAATAGGACAGTTGCGGGTTTTTCTGCCCCTTCTTGAAGCGAGTTTCGGCGTCCGATTGTGTGAGGTCCTGGAGGTTCTGTGGAGCTTTACCTAATGTAACGTTTTTAGTTTTGCATTTCTGTATCCTGGCCCACATCATCGAGACACTTAATGCCCCTCCTCTCTGAACTGCTCCTGCAGTTCTGGGCAGTACAACGGAGCCTGAAATTGAGCTAGTTGGTGTTGATTTTGTTGAATTTGATTCAAATTGCCGCGCAAACAAAACCAATATACAAATCGGCTATTGAGAGCTTCAAAAAGCATATTTCTAATATTAAATAGATCCTTGAGCTCAGCATATAAGCCCGGTATTTTGAGCTGGCAGCGGCCCCTTAGCTATCGGGGCTCTAATGCATCCAACCGCTTCCAAGAAAGCTCATCTCACTTTCGGGGACTTTCAGAAGTATCAGTCCTTCTAAACTAATTGTTTTGTTTTATTTAGCGTTTATATCATTTAAGAATTGTGTAGATGTGTTTCTAAGATAGCTAGCTACAGAAAGCGAGGCATAGGAACTCATCTTACAAGCTGGGCTTGACGCACCCAAGCGAGGAATGTTTTATGAAATGCAAACTGTCCAGTATAACCCATTCAAAATTTAATTTGATGCCAAAGTGCCTTCTGGGAAATCGGAGGAAAACGTGTACCAAAGTACTTTCTGGGATATCGGATAAAAACGCGCGCAGCAAGTAGGTTGTCCACATTTCACCAAAGTTGGCCGCAAAAGCATCAGGAAATCTCCGCTGAAAACCTTGGGATGTTCCCAGGATCCAACTATAATGAATTCCCTTTAAAAAAGGAATCCATGACACAAAATAGAGCTAGAAAATGGAGAAAGAAAAAGCTTCACTTGGAGGGAATACCGAAGTTTTGTGGCGGGCGGAACCGCACGACTGCGCCCCGATTTCCACGAGCTGAGGCACAGCCACTGACTGGTCATATTTCTCCCAGCAAATGACGGCAAATCTGAAGCAGAAGTGGAAAACTTTACCGCCAGAATCTTTGAATCTGGCAGTTTGCTCATCGGAAGCCCCTGAAACACGAGGATAGAAGCACCACCAGGATATCCCTAGTTCATAATGAAATCCACTTCTTTTATATGGGCTGGGCTCTAGGCTGTAGGGCTGGAAGCTGGTTGGGCTCGCAACAGGTCCTGCACTACCAGAAGGGATATATCTTGAGATGAGCAACTTCGAGCTGGCGAAGCTCCACAACAGCTTTTGTGCCTTGTTCTGAGCTAAAATGTTAAAAAATACTGGCAAAAATTTATATATTATATTCGAAGCATCTTTAGAAGGCTTTAGAAGCTGCCTAGGAAACTCAACTCTTGCCAGCTGCGCGCATCCCGTAGGTATGTTCACGTATTCATATTTCCAGACCCCTCAGGCTGCAGCGTTTCCCCAGCCCTCCAATCCAACCTCTCAAATAATTATTATACAGCAACTTCATTTTAATCTTTTAATTCTTTTGCAGCAAAGAACAGACTCATTGCCGCGGTCCGACGGGAAGCCGTCCGCACCGCCAGCTAGTCCTGTGAGCCAGAGGCCTCTTCTGCTTTCCATTTCACACTTCAAAGTGCCAAAAAGATGATTCAATTTGTAATGAGTTTGGACTACTTTGAAAACGGCACAGAATGGCAGCTTTCTAGAGTACTTTGCAGACACACGCGCACGAGTTTTCCTTCCGCTTTCTGTCTCACGCTCGAGCAAATGCTTTATGACGAATCACACTGTACTTCATACCCCTCAAAAAAAGCTTGAAAAGATCCCAAACTACCCCAATCACAAAATGGACAACTCAGGGTCACTACCCTCTGGCTTTCAGCGATGTTCCCGGACAAAGGCTCTCAATAGAGGACCCTGGTGACCCCTACAGCAAATTCAAGCTAGAGATTAGTTAAAAATGGCGTCAAAGTTGCATTGCTGGCCGTAGTTGCGAACTTAGCGGTTTGTACCAAATGTGTTCTCGTTGCATGTGGTATATTTCTTAGCTATTCCACTTAGACATTGCTTGCTATCCCTATGGCACAAAATAAACAGACTTAAAGCCCATAAAAAAACCTATTCTGTTGTCAGAGTCAGCTTTTTGTGCCCGTGGAGCCAGTTCGGGAGGGCCCCAACCCTTCGTCGTGCCAAAGCCCAGTGTCTTGGACAAGGAAGGGGTACAAGCTTCCCCTGCTGGCACCAGACACTGCCTTTTGCCTTTCCTTAGTGCCAACAAGTGCTCTAAGTACTTCTAAAGACATAATGCAAAAGATTTGGCCGCTGGAGCCCTACACGCGGCTGCACCCGCAGCAGGCCCCTCCAGCCTCCAGCCCTCGAGGCCATAGTACGTCATGCTGGGGCAGCCTGGCCTCAACTTGATAGAAAACGGTCCAAATATTAACTGTTTTACTTATTGCTGGACACTCTATGCGAATTTGAACTGTACATTCGCTCAATTGTGCAGTTCAAGCCTGCGACTGAAGGGCAAGTTAGAGTCCACGGCCTTCTGTCCAATGCACCCTTTGCGGAGGGCGCCTACACAAGAGTTACGCAGTCCACTAATGCCAAATATATAAGAGAAATAATGCGTAGCGGGGGATAGTTACGGTGAACGCGCATGCAAATAGCGGGCAGTGCAAAGTAGTCAGGTGGTTCTCCGCGGGCGGTGCTCTTCAGCCCGCCTGACACGGCAGCCGCTGGAACAAATCCAAAAAAAGCAACTGGGAAGTGTTGGTCAAGTTATTTGTCGTTTAGATCAGGAGGAAAGTTGAGTTCGGGAGGCCACCTAATAGCGGTTTGGCGTGGTAACCGCTGCATGCGACTGGTGTAGGCGCATAGGGCAAATTGGTGCGCTGTGGCCTTGGCGTGGCGCGAAGCGGTAGAGTTTGTCTATTCGGCAGTTAGTAGAAAACGGAAAATATAGTTTTAAACGACTAATGAGATTTATCTATCCTCGATGGAGGCGAACGTGCAGGAGATGCTGCGCGGGCATGAGATGCGCTGCTGAGGGCAACAGCTACCGCAGCTGCTGAGTTCAGGGGTGGGGGGCGCGGCACAGCACACGTTGTGCATAGAAGTTAAGATACGGGAGTTCACTGACTGGCGGATCGTTTTCTTTTGTCCTTTTCTACGTAGTTTTGAGATAATTGCGACCTTTCACGGCTGTAATGCTGGCCTGCATGCTGATGGACAGGGCAGCAAGTTTCCGCGTGCCGCCCGCAGTAACGCTCTCAGTTGGGGAGTGTATCGCTTGCTATTCGCCGCGCCGAATGGCCCAGCAGCCTTTATTTCGTCTTATTAATCCCTTAAATATCGTCTGCAGATGACAGGGGAACCCCCAGTCGCTGCTCCTCACCCTGCGTTTCAGCCGAGCACCCGAGCAACTGCCTAAGCCTGCCTGCAGCGAGAGCTCCCGAGCTGCTGCTTCCGCCGCTCTTTCTCCCCAACTTCGAGACTTTTCCTTTCAAATAAGTCAAGATGCAGTACGTGAACATCCCCCGCGACAGGGAAGACCCCAACTACCGCTACAAAATGCCCAAGCTGCTCTCCAAGATCGAGGGCAGGGGCAACGGCATCCGCACAAACGTGTACAACATGGGCGAGATCGCCCGCGCTCTCAAGAGGCCCCCCATGTACCCCACCAAGTTCTTTGGCTGCGAGTTGGGCGCGATGGTCAAGTTCGAGGAAAACGAGGAGAAGGCCCTCATCAACGGGGCCCACAGCGAGGAGGACCTCGTGGCCATTCTCGACAAGTGAGCTGCTGCTGCTGCTGCTGCTGCTGGTTTGGGCGGTGCAAAGTGCTGGGCAGGAGAGCTGCAGCCGTCCGTCGGCCCCCCGCGCGCTCATAGCTGCTGCTGCTGCCGCTGCTGCTGCTGTTCATGTTTCAGGTTCATTCAAATGTACGTGCTCTGCGGGGGCTGCGATCTCCCCGAAATCGACATTACTGTCAAGAAAGGAGTTTTGGTTTGCAAATGCAACGCCTGTGGCTACTCGGGGACTCTGGACAACACGCACAAGGCTGCGACGTACATGGCGAAGAACCCGCCAAATGCGACTGAGACCACTCTGGGGAAGAAGAAGAAGACCAAAGAGGAACGCAGAGCCGAAAAACACGCGAAAGAGGAAGACAAATCCGAAAAGACAGGCAAGGAAAAGAAAAGTAAAGACAAAGACAAGAAAAAGAAAAAGGGAGAAGAGGAAAATGACACGGACTGCCTCAACTCGAAAGCCGTAGACCACTCCGGCGACGCGACTCCCACCAACGCCGGTAAGCCCGTTATCTTGTTTCTAATTGCGATCACGCGGATTATTGAATTATTTGAATTTATTTCAGTTGAAATAAATTCAAACAAAATAGCTCACTAAGTTGTTCCTCCGGCTGTGTTCTTGTGCGCTTTCAGGCGAAGACAGCTGGGACGAGGAGAAGTCCTCGGAGGCGGACAAAAAGGAGAAAAAGAAAAAGGAAAAGAAACATGCAAATGCAGAGGGGCCAAAGTTGGTGGTGAAGGAAGCACTGACAATCAATTGTCCCGAAATCGCCGAAGTCGCCGCGCGACTTCGAAACATGATTGTCACTTCTTCGGCGGTGACCCCCGACAGTTTTTTCGTTGAACTCAGGATGCTTCAGGTTTCCCAGGACTTCGACGCCAAGGTAGGAAATTCAGAAAGCCCTGACATTCTATTTACAAGCAATTAAATAATATATTAAGCAACTAACACCTCCAGCGATTCGCGTTTGCACACAAGACCTGTGTCCTCAGCTTTCCGGTTTTTCTGCAAATGTGTTTCCGAACTCGGTTTCGCTCCGTTTTTCCCGGAATCTTCGCTAATTTCTGAATAAATAGATGAAATTTGTGACAACTGAGCAAATCTCTGGAAAGAATTGCGCAGAAAGCCGCGGAAAGCTGGAGTGTGCAAGTTGAATTGGGTGTTGAGCGCAGTGCCGGATGTACGTGGTGCTGAGCGCGCTGTTCAAGGACGGGCTGAGTCCGGAGTTGCTGGAGGAGAAGATGGCATTTGTGGCGAAGTGCTGCGACTCTTCAGTGCATGCATCGGATTTGTTGTCGGCTTTGGAGAACTTTTGCTTCGAAAACCCGCACACCGCAATGGCCGGCTACCCCTACATGCTGCAGCGCCTCTACAACGCAGAACTCCTCGAGCCCGAAGACATCCTCGCTTACTACAACAGCCCCCGCGCCGACGCCGCCACGCAGAAGTGCAGAACTTTCGCAGAGCCTTTTCTCAAGTGGCTCGCAGAGGCAGACTCCAGCGACGAGGAGTGAGGCCCGCTGCTGCTGCTGCTGCTGCGGCAGCTGCAGGTGCTGCGGCTGCTGCGGGCGCCGCAGCGCGTCCAGGTGCTGCAGCTGCTGCGGGCGCTGCAGCGGCTGCTGCTGCTGCTGCTGCAGCAGCTGGGGCCGCCGAGCGCGCGTGTTGTCTTTTTGCAAATCTCGTGAGGCTTGTGTCCGGGGCAATTGAATTTGCTGCTGCAGCAGAAGGCGCCTGGAGAGCAGCAAGGAAGCAGCAGTGGCCTGTGCAGATTATTTCGAAATACTTTTTCATTTCGAAAACAGAAAAGTTTTATTTCGCTGCTGCTGCGGCAGCAGCAGCAGCAAGAGGCCCCCGGTGTCACTGGAGGCCCTTAGCAGCCCAGCGGGCGCCGGGGGTTCTCCACTTCACTTGAACAACAGCCGTTCCTTACGATTAAGAGTTCCAAGTTGAAAGCTAAGTGAAAACAAATCAATAATTGTAATTATAAATACAATTATAATTTGAAATTAATTGTAAAAAAATAGTGGGAACAGTAGCATGGCTTTTAGGGTTTGGAGAGTGTGGCTGGAGCCGTCTGTAGCTATTGAGGTGTTTTGCGCGCAGCAGGCCGCTAGGGTTTAAGGTTTAGGGTTTGCGCTTAGGTGCTGTAGGTGCTGCTGCACTGCAGCAGCAGCGCCATTGATGGTGGCATGTGCAGCGTCACGAGCCCTTGGGGCTGTAGGGGGAGGAAGGATGCTTCTGCTGCTGCGGTTGCTGCTGCTGCTGCTGCAGCCAAAGACTTGTTTGCTGCTGCTGCAGCCAGCGCCTCCAGCTGCTGCCGCGTCTCTGCTGCAACAGCTGCCAGCACTGCAGGGGCCGAGGGCTGGCTTCCAATTTGGAGGAGCTGCGGCAACGCAAATAAGTGCAAAAGTGGATGCAATTAACGAATTGATAATTCCATTTAATTTGCTTTTTGTTTTATTTCTGCAAACAGCCCTCACCAGCTCATTCAGCGCAACATCCCAGTGCGTTGCTGCGCAGGCCTGGACAGCAGCAGCGGGAAAAAGACTTTCTTCTTATTTACATTTGTGACAGTTCCTCTTTTCCACTTGCCTTAGAGTAGCAGCTGGGGTGTACAGACAGCAGGGCTTTGTGAAGAACGCAGAAAAGCGCCACCAAATTGTCAGTTTCGCATTCTTTGAAATCCGCGCTGAGCAGAGTCGAGCATATCGCCGATATGCCTGCGCATGCGTCGAAATTTATAAATAAAATAATAATTAAATAATATTTTAAATATTTATTCTGCACAAATGCAACTCGATCATCGCTAATCGGCGCTGCAGCGCAGCTGTGCAAGTCCGTTTCTGCTCGGCTCCACCCGATCTCACCCAGATTTCAAAAGCCACGCGACTTAGCCGCAAAGTTTTGCTGCTTTTGACTTTTAAAAATATAAAACTTACAAAGAGATGTTCGGAAGCAAAAAGAGCAGCGGGGGGAGCTGTCAACGAGACACAGCAGCAGCTCCATCAGCGCGGGCCGCGAGAACCAGCGGGCGATTTCTTCTGCTGCAGAAGAACAGCAGCAAATAACAAATGGAAATTGCAATGAGGCAGCCCGTAGCAGCAGACTGGCTGCAGCAAGCCGGGGAGCAGCAGCAGCAAACGCTGTGCTGCTGCCTCAGAAGCAAGCGGCAGCAGCAGCAGCAGCAGCAGCAGCAGCAAGCTCACAGCAGTTCCGCCAGGGGCTTTTCTCCTGCAAAAGTGCTGCAGCAACTTTTGCCCAGGCAGCTTCGACTGCAGCACTGCAGCCCGCGGAGGCAGCAGCAAATTCTGAAACGCTTCAAATTCAATTTTTCAACTTTAAAAAAAAATAAAAACAAAACAATTCCGAACAGCAGCAACCTGAACTCTTGCTGCTGCTATCCTACCAAATATGCCATTTAGCTGCTTCTTTATTTCTGCCGGCAAGAGGCCCCCGGGGCCCCCAGGGGCCCCAGGGCCCCCCAGGGCCCCGGGGGCCCCCGGGGGGCCTCGGGGGCCCCGGGGGCCCCGGGGGCCCCCG